TGAACTGCAGATAACAGTCAGCTGAAGTGGCCTGCAGTACTGCACCCTAACCACTGCGCCACCTTGGCTCTTCTCATGTGCTTGTCCATTGCTCACGCAAGTGGGGATGCATGTGCACGTGTGCGCTCGCCCACTACTTCCGCAGCCCAGTCCCGAATGGCTCAAGGCCCAGTGGCAGGTTACAAGCCAGAGGTTGGGGACCCCTGAACTAGACAACCTTTAGAGAGGGCATTGACTGAGAATTTATTGACTGCAAATAATCTTAGCAAGTGCTGCAAAGGTCCTGACTGCAATAATATGGACCTAAAATATAGATCATAATGAATAAAACTGAGATCCTTTAGAGGAATTACTTAAATTAGATTTCTCCCTTCAAGATGTAGATTCTCCCTTGGAGGGGGAGTTCCAACCTGAAGTCACTCTTCAAGTCTACAAGCCTCCTGCCTGAGATCTAGAGGTCCAGCAAAAAGAGGAAGAATTGGTAAGTAAGCTGTAGTGCTACCAAATTCAAACCCTTGCTATGGCTAAAACATTTGAAGAAGAGAAAAATGTACGCTGATGCTAGGTTTCCAGGGACGGGGCAGGGAAATTTCCTGGTTAATATACCAAATCTTCCAAGAGACCCAGTTTCTTAAGTACTATTGTCTTTCCGTTATTATAGTGACTCTATGTATGAATGATATATAGAGCTCAACGAAGTGATATGAGCTCTACCTTTCACTGACTCTCCTGGCTAGTTAAAGAAAGGAGGAGGAAACTAGTAGTTGGATGCAGACAGTAGTTTTATCCCACTTATTGATAGTTAAGGAGGTTCCAGCTGTCTTGAAGTGGTGCTGGCCTATCCTGTCCTCAAGTGGCCTTCCATTCCATTCAACAGTAATGAACACTAGTCATCCTATATCCAATCTCCTTTTGGGGGGAAGATTGTGGCGAGAGTGATGGGCAACAATTAGAAGTCTCTGATCCAAACAAATTATTTGGAGATTTGGCAATCAGGATTCAAGGCAGGTTATGGGATGGGACAGAAATTGCATTGGTTGCTCTCACTAATGACTTGTGGGTGCAGTAAGGGAAGGTGGGAAGACCATCCTTCTTGTCCTGTTAGATGTCTTGATGGCCTGTCATATTGTTGATGATAATCCTTCTGGGTTTTATTTAATGTATTGAATTGTTCTTCTATTATGATTATATACACTCCCAAGGACCTCTAGAGAGAATTGGTTTATAGATCTTAGGAATAAATATTTGGGGGATAGTTGAGGGGGAGGAAGGTTTGTGTGAAAAGAGTATCTGTGTGGCATGGGCTCTCGAAACAATTCTCAGGGCCGAAAATATCGCTTACCAACAAATTGTAGAAAGGAATGTCCAAAATTGAGATAATAAAACTTGTATATTAGAGCTGCAAAAAAGCACTTGTCCTTTAGATGGCAATGAAGAGATAATAAAAATTCTAACCCCTTGCTGCCATCTAGTAATCCAAAATATTTTTACAGCCTATATGTACAATAGCAGAGTTGGAAGGGACTTTGGAGGTCTTCTAGTCCAACCTCCTGCCTATGTAGGAAACCCTATACCATTTCAGACAAATGGCTATCCAACATCTTCTTAAATACTTCCAGTGTTGGGGCATTCACAACTTCTGGAGGCAAGCTGTTGCACTGATTAATTGTTCTGACTGTCAGGAAATTTCTCCTTAGTTCCAATGTTGGGCTCAAATGTGCTTCAGGGGTGGGTTTCAACCGGTTCGCGGCTGTCCCCGCGAACTGGTTGGTCGGCGAACCCGGAAGTAAGTAACTGCGGGAATGGCGAAGGGCCCCCCCGCCCCCCCATGCTCCTTACCCGGTTTTGACGAGTTCTGCGGTTCCACGCATGCGCAGGACACATATAGCG